TAGGGCTCGGCTCGCCGACTCACGAGGCGGCCTTGGCGGTGCGTGTGCAGCACGCGCTCCTCTGTACGCGCCGCGCTCTCCACACGGCGCGCAGCGCCGCTAGAGCGGTTCGGCGGCGAAAAATGACTTAGCGGTTTGGAGGTGTGAAGAGACGGAATTCACACCTTTCGACTCGGATAGGGCTCGAGACGCCGATTTATCAGATGCCGCTCAGTGGGTGTGCTGCGCGTTAGCTGTACTACACGCTCGGCGCTGTTAGCGAGGCGCGGAGCGCCCTTGGGGCGGTGAGAAGGCGCTTGACGGCGGTCACGGCTCGAGGTGTGAAGAGACGCCGTTCACACTTTCTGCTATGAACAGGGCTCGGCTCGCCGGCTCAAGAGACGGCCCTCGCGGTGCGTGTGCAGCGTGTGCTCCTCTGCACGCGCCGCGCTCTCCACGTGGCGCGCAGCGCCGCTAGAGCGGTTCGGTGGCGAAAAAAAGACTTAGCGGTTTGGAGGTGTGAAGAGACGAAATTCACACCTTTCGACTCGGATAGGGCTCGAGACGCCGATTTATCAGATGCCGCTCAGTGGGTGCGCTGCGCGTTAGCTGTACTACACGCTCGGCGCTGTTAGCGAGGCGCGGAGCGCCCTTGGGGCAGTGAGAAGGCGCTTGACGGCGTTCACGGCTCGAGGTGTGAAGAGACGCCGTTCACACGTTCTGCTATGAACAGGGCTCGGCTCTCCGGCTCACGAGGCGGCCTTGGCGGTGCGTGTGCAGCACGCGCTCCTCTGTACGCGCCACGCTCTCCACGCGGCGCGCAGCGCCGCTAGAGCGCCTTGACGGCGAAAAAAAGACTTAGCGGCTCCAAGTGCTCCAAGTGGGCTTTGAGGTGTGAAAAGACGGTTCTCACACTTTTCGGCTCGGATAGGGCTCGAGGCGCCGTTTTATCAGACGCCGTGCAAGGGGCGTGTCGCGCGTGTACTGCGCTACACGCTCGGCGCTGTTAGTACGGCGCGGAGCGCCTCTGGGGCGGTGAGAAGTTGGCGGACGGCGTTCACGGCTCGAGGTGTGAAGAGACGCCGTTCACACTTCATGCTATGATCAGGGCTCGGCTCGCCGACTCGTGAGACGGCCTTCGCGGTGCGTGTGCAGCGCATGCTCCTCTGTACGCGCCGCGCTCTCCACGCGGCGCGCAGCGCCGCTAAAAATTCTGTCTTTATTAGTTTTGTTGTAAATTTCTTTCTTTATTGCTGTGCCTTTTGTGGTGCTAGTCCGTGCCAGTCTGCTTTGAGAGGGGCTTGTGTTCGTGCCAGTGCGCGCCAGGCACGTGGCGGGCGGAAATTCTTTTGTTACCAACTGGACGCGATGCAGGCATCCACGGCCATCCACGGCCTGCTGTCTCTCGCCCCTCTCGCCG